ACCATGCCACCTGCAAGGACAGCAAGGAGACAGATAGGGTGACGTCAGGAAGTTTCTTCCGGCCTTGGTTTGCACAAAGACCGTCCTTGTAAGGCTCAGAGTACAAGAAGATGATGTCTGCTGTGCCTTGGTATCCCGGTGTCAAGAGCACAGGGCAGCCAAATGTTGTTGTGCAAAAAAGTCTTCTTTGACTCTTAAGCCTTTTGATGAGCAGTTAAACCAGGGAGGCTTATCTGGTGACCGTCTTTCTCCCGAGGTGGCGTCATTGTTCACCCTGGCCCCTGCTAAAAGCTGGCGGAAGTGCTTTGCCAACCTCAGGCATTCCTGGTGGCTGAGAGGCCAAGCCAGCGCCCTGTCCTAGGGACCTGAGACTCCACGCAGGCCTCGTGCCATTTCCTTTCTCTTCCTCAGAAGGAGATGCTGGGCCTGGTGGCTGGCCAGCTGTGGTTTTATTGAGATTTGTTCAGCCAGCACGCTCTGGCCTCCTCTGACCACACAGATCCTGTGCGGTTTCCCCTGACGTCTTGGCCAGCTAGTACCTCCTCGGGGAAATGAGGTAGGGATTACTGAAAGGAACAGAATGCAGATGGCAGGTCTGTGAGGCCCCAGCTTCTTTCCAGCTCTTCCTCTTGCTCCTGTCTCCCCACTCCTGGCTCCTTGTCCCGTCACCACCCTAGTGACAAGTCCCCGATTTTCTGTCCCATCATGCAAGACATTACAGTCGTTTATGGGTTTCAGGGAGGTGTTTAGGATCCAGTAATCAAGATGCATAAATGAACTGCCTTTTTTTTTTTTAAAGAGAGAATCTGGGGCCTCACAGATCCTTGGTGGGGGGGTGGGGGACTGGGCCTTTAAGACATCATCTCTTTCCTGCCACTGCCTTTAACTAAGCTCCATTTACCTTTAAAGATGTTCAGAGAAAGCCATTCTACCCATCGTTGGTCATACATTCCAGTCCCTAACTGGATTTACTCTCAATAGATGTTTATCATCCAACCTGAATCTCCCACACTGAGCTTTACACTCACTTCCTCTTGCTGGCTGCACAACGAGAGCTAGAAGGTAGGACCTCCCATCCTTCACTTTGCATTTGAAGAAGGATAATAACCCCGCGCCACAGCATCATTCACATTTCTGTCCTTCCAGCTTCTCTGGTAGTAACAAGGTCCACTCGGTGCATGCCTGCTGCCTGCTTCTTTCCCTTCCTTGTACACAGGCCAGCCCTTGGGTTTGGAAGTTCCCTCGTCCCAAGCTTGCCGGTGGGGACCCTCTGGCTTGTGGCAGCAGTGTTGAGGGGGACACTCCTGGCTCGGGTCTTGGGAGTTGCCAGCCCCTGGCACCCCTTGGGCAGTTGGGATGGTGGGTCCCTGGGGTCTGGCCCTTTGCACATCAGTGGGATAGGCACTCAGGAGAAATCTGGCTTCACAGCTAGTATTTTTCACTTAGGTTCCCTCCTGAAGTTTTGGCTGAAAACCAGACTATAGTTAGTGGGTCTCCAGAAGTAATGGACAGGTGTTCGGTGTCTTGTGTCTGCAGGAAAAGGGAGCCTGAACAGCTGAGCATAAACAACAGTTGCTTGGTAATATGAGCTCCTTTCATTTAAAGTCAGAGGCCTGGCTGCGGCTGGGGGAAGGGAGGCCAGGTTGTTCTGGCCACCACCTGTCTGGGAGGCCAGAGGTGAGGTCAGCTTCCCGGAGAGAACCACAGAGTCTTCTCGGAGCCAAATGTGGGACAGCGGCAGGGAGAGGAATGCAGGGGCTGAGATTTTGAAGTCCTGACCCCCATGCCGCCAGCTGCTTGGGGAAATGATTTTTCAGCATTCTGTGTTTCCATTTGCCTACTTGTCAGTGGATGGAACTGAATAGCGGCCGAGAGCTTCGTGATACACCCAGCCGGTGAGGGCTGGTAAAATTTGGGTGCCACGGGGGACCCCCTGCTTTCCAGAGCTGATAGAGTTGCTGAGATTCCGGTGGCCTCCAATGGGCTCCCCAAGACCTGGGTTCAAGTTCCGGCTTTGTCTTTGAGACGATTATTATTTATCTGTGACCTTGGATAAAGTTTTGTCTCACTCCTAGGTCGCTGGGAAGATAAAATAGTATGTAGGGACGTCCTTTACAGAAGCGTAAAGGTTACTATGCCACAAAACACCCGGGATACCGAAGAGAATCTAAGAGAGGAGAAACTTGGTTCTTCCCTCAACACGCTTGTTGTCTGTTTAACAGTAAGGATGGCTCGCCATCGTAGGGGCTCTCATTTCTCAAAGCAGTTCCCCCTTTATCATCTCACTGGGTCATGCCATGGTTAAAAAAAAAAAAAGACAAACAGGTGGCAGGGGGCCGGAGGATGTGGTTTGAACAGGGTTTTAGTGGATAAAGGCTTGAAGGAAAGAAGGCAGCAGTATGCAAGGACAGTGCTGGGGACCTGCGGTCCTCTGGGCATCTGCTTGCTGCTCAGCCAAGTGAAACCATTTCAGATTTCGTTTGGAGGAGGTTTTCCCTCAGGCCAGGTGAAATGTAAATGATCATTCTCAACTACTGCTGTGCCCAAGGCTTAAATTAAATCTCCCAGGATTTTTAGATTTTAGGTCCAGAATCCTATTGTGGGTGGGAAAAGCGGCTGCAGTGGGTGGGAAGAGGGAGCCTGGTGACTTTAATTCCTTTTAGGAGGCATCCATTTAAATTCAGAGTGCTCAACTTGGGGGGGGGGGCAGGTCCCCCTGTGAATCCCCCCCCCCATACCCATCAATTCGATTAGCCCTGTGTTGTGGATCATCATGTTCGTGTTTGTGTGTTTGCTTTGTGTTGTTTGGCTTGGGAAGTTACTGGATCCCCTGCAAAGCACTCATCCTTGGAGGAAGTCCAGGGCAGTGAGCAACTGGCGCCTGGGCTTAACTCCCTATCCTGAAGTTTGGAGTTGCCATCATGCACCCTCAGCATCCCCCCGGGGCCGGAAGAAGCATTCTGTTCCTTGCCAGGCCGGACACCTGAAGGGGGTTTCTCCTTTCTGTGTCATGTCCGGGAGTTAAAAAAGTGATACCAAACCACCTTTGAGGGAGCCAATGGCCGGATGTGGAGAGTCAGAAATAAGACGAGCCAATGTTCCGGGGAGTCATTTACAGGTGGGCCTGGCCTTGGCTTTCCGGCCACAGTACCTCTGTCCCCCAGTGCAAAACTTACTTCCCTTGGTTTCCTGGCCTCTTGGACATTGTGCAATGTCCTGAAACCTTGAGCTCCCCTCCGTGGGTCATTCCAGGGCGTGATGGACCGACCCATGGCCAGTTGTCATACTTGATGTCTCACTGGCCTGCAGGGACATATTTTCTTGCAGTGAGTTCTTGTAGTCTTTGAGAAATGTGCTATTTGTTCAGCGTTGGGACACTCATGAAATGTTCCTGCATCCTCCATGCTGGTGGGGAAGCTGGGCATCAGCTCTTCACTGGAAATTGGACTCATAGAGAGGGGCAGAGAAGAAATCGAATCGAATTGTGGATTCAACGATGCATTCTTCTGTGCTCCTCCTGGTCTATCTGAAAGCTACTGACTCTACTTTGTGGAGGGGCGATTAGTGGAGAGGCTTATGCTCTGGACTGGGAGGGAGGAGAATGGACCATACAGCCTCTGCTCTAGAAGCTGGGCTGGTTTAGGCTCAGTCCCAGTGGAGAATCCTCGTTCAAGTGGATCAGTTCTCGGGCCAGGCTCTCAGGGCTGAAGGTACTTGGGTCTAGGGAGTGAGTGGGTCAGCCTACCTTCAGACACTGCCCGGGCTGATTCACTTCCCGGGTTCCATGACCTGGGGGACATCTTAGACTTTCTGTGACTCAGTCCATACCCCTTGCAGGTTGAAGCAGAATTGAATCATCCCCCAGGAACACAACTCCCGGGGGCTTTGCTGGATGCTTTGCCTTCTGGGTGCTCACCTTCCAATAACTTCATTGTGTGCTTGGGATGGGGCTACAGTATTGACAGGGCAGCTCAAGATGGAGAGGGATCAGTCCCTCTTTCCTTGCTGGTCCTGTGTGTCCTGTGTCTCCCAGATCCTATTGTCTGTCCTTCCTCCGTAAGTCATGTCTGCTGTCCTCAGCTTATTCCACAAGAGAACCCTTCTCTCCTCTCAACTGGTCATTTTGGAAGCAGCCTCCAGGGAACCTGCCGGGAGGGGAGGGGGGAAGGGACTCTGACTACGCCCAGCCTTCCCGTGCACCTGCCTGCCCTCCCAAACGATTCAAAGAAAGCACTTTTTCTTCGAAGACATCCTGCTGGAAATGAAAAGCCCCCTGCTTCCCCCTCAACCCTGGGTCTTGGGTGGCCTTGGGGAGTGAGGACTGAATTCCTGATTCCTCCCTTCCCCCAAAGAAAAAGCTGGGCGTTAGACTAATGGGAGCTTGCCTGGCCAATCGGTGCTTTGAGAAAGTTTGGTTTGTGATCCTGTTTCATTAGGCTGATTGGAGCAGCCCGTGCGCGGAGGCAGAGTCCCTCCCCAAGGGATTCCGCGCTCGGCTGCCCCGGCCGTCGCTGCCGGTGCGTGCCCTTTCTGGACAGAAGTGGCCTCCCCTCCCCTCCCTTGGCTCCCCCCTCCTGCTCTTTTGTGTTTTTATCCAGTGTCTCGCTTCCTCTCTCTCCCCTCACCCGCCCCCCGCCCCCGCCTCCTGCCCTCCGCCTCCCTGCAGCGCCACGCCGGCTCCGGCTCCGCAGCCCGGGCGGCCGACCGCGAGCCGCTGAGAGCGCGCCGAGCCGCCCCCGGGGCCCCGCCGAGCCCCGCCGAGCCCCGCCGAGCCCCGAGGCGAAGACGCCAGCCGCCGGGAGAGCGCGCGAGGAAAACCAGCGGGCGCGCCGCGGGAGCCCCGGAGGGCGGCCGGGAGGGGGGGCGCGCCCCGGAAAGTTGCCCCGCGGCGCCCCGGGAGCCGGGCCTGCCCCCCGCGCGGCTCGGGCGGCGAGCGGGGCCCCCGGGAGCGGCCGGGAGCGCGGCGGCGGCCGGCGGAGCGCGCGGACCCCGCGGACCCCATGCCGGCGGCCAACATGCTGGAGAACCCGCAGCCGCCCGCCCTGCAGGTGCCCGCGCCCCAGGGCGCGCCCGAGGGCGGCCCGCTCTGGTCCAGCTCGTCGACCCCCACGCTCCGCCGCCGGCGCTTCAAGATGCGCCGCACCAAGAACGTGCAGGAGCAGAGCCTGGAGGCCGGGCTGGCGCGGGAGCTGCCCGGCGTCCTGGCCCCGGGCAAGGAGTTCCTGCAGCTGCCGTCCATCGAGATCACGCCCTCCAGCGACGAGGACACCCCGTGGTCCAACTGCTCCACACCCAGCGCGTCTCCGCGCCGAAAGCGCTTCCTCCTCCGCAAGTGGCTCAGGGTGAGGGAGCGGAAGGAGTGCAGTGAGAGCAGGTACGTCCCCGCGCCGCCCCTGCCCCACCCCACCTGCGCCTGCAGCCCCCGCCCCGGCCCCCGGGGGGCGTCCGGGCCCCACCGCGGCGGGCAGCGGGCAGCGGGGGCGCCCTCGCGGCTGCTGCGCCGCGCCCCGGCGGCCACGCGTGTCGCCCTCCGCCCCCCTCCGGGGCCGGGGCTGGGGGCCTGCGACTCCCTCCCCGTGGGGCTGCCCGCCGCTTTCCTTCTCATTCCATCCTCACTGCAGAATGAACAGGGAAGCCCTTGGCAGCTCGCATCTGTTGGGTCCCGAACCTGGGCAGGTCCCTACAGCCCGCGCGGGCATCACGAAAACTCTGCGCTAGGCACCACTGCTGTTCCCGTTTAAGACGTGGACACAACTGAAGCCGAGAGAGGTTAAGGGGCGCCTCCACCCTGCACTGACACCGCTGAACTCCGTTTCAGTTTTTATTATGTTATCGTGGCCACAACCAGCTTGCGTGTCCTGGCCCACACGTGGAGGGCACCTGCTGCAACATGCAGGTTGAGAGAGGCACATTTCCTACTACAGAGAGTCTTCGGACTTCTAGAGCTGCTGTGGTTTGTGGCAGCTCCCCCCCCCTTTTTTTTCCTGGGTTAGTGTGGCATCTGAATAGTGGGAGAAGTTGTCCTGTCACCCAGCGTAGAAAACCATAGGGCAGCTCCATACAGCCTTGGCTAGGAGGTGTGTTGGAGCCAAATCCACCGCCTGGTTGCAGGGAGAGGGATCCTTACAGGCTCTTTGATACCATGGACTCTGCTCCTTTAGACACTCCAGAGTTCTATCTCTTAAGGGAGGTTGGCACCCTTCTTTGGGCAACTGAAGGATTGGCCACTTTGCCCAGGACTCCTCCTCCCAGCCTGTCCTGTTTCATCCACATCAATTCAACCAGTGTTTATTGAATGTTCTCCTGAGTTCCATCTGGTACCGGCTAATGTTGATGGGGTCCTGGAGGGCGAGCAGAGAGGACTGGGTAGAAAAAGGAGGTGCCAAGTTGGAGGAGGAGGATGGGTGGAGACTCGTGTGACCAATTGAGACAAGTCAGTTTCACTCCCCTGGAGGAGGTGGAGCCATTGGAAAATATAAAGATGCTGAAAGAGAGAGTCTCAAACTGACCAATACAGACAGGTGGTAGAAAACAGCAGGAAAAGTATGAGGACGGGGGCATGAGATCAGGAAAGAGGAACAGTGTGGACAAAGGCAAAAGAAGCAGGGTGGTGGCACCAGGCTGGCTCAGTGGGGAGAACCTGTGGCTTTGGTCTCTTCAGGGTCGTGTGAGCACCACGTTGGGTGCAGAGATTACAAAAAAAAAAAAAAAATTAGAAGAAAAAAGAAGTAGGCCTTGTCTCTTTGAGGGGACACGGAGGAATTGGTGGGGTTATGATAAGCTTTCCCCAATCTCTTTTCCTTTAACTGGAAGTGGTTCTACTTTCAAGTGCAGATGTAGTTTTTTGTGAACCTGAGGATAACAATTCTTTCTGTCTGGTGCCCCATCCTGCTGCCTTTTCCACAGAGTCGAGAGAAGAGGAGCAAGCTTGGTGGGAGCTAATCTTATTTTTAAATTTCTTCTCTTCCTTTTTCTTCTCCTTCTTTTAAGATTTTATTTATTCACTAGAGACACAGAGAGGCAGAGACATAGCCAGAAGGAGAAGTAGGCTTCCTGTGGGGAGCCTGATGTGGGACTTAGTCCCAGGACCCCCCGGGTCAGGACTTGAGCCAAAGGGAGATGCTCAACCACTGAGCCACCCAGGTGCCCCCCTTCTTCTTTTTTTTAAGGTAATCTCTATGCCTAGTGTGGGGCCCGACATCACAACCAGACTCTACCAGCTGAGCCAGCCATGAGCTAATCTTGAATTCAGTGCAATCCCTATCAAAGCACTGGGTGTTATGCTATAATATGTTGGCAAATTGAACTCCAATAAAAAAAATTAAAAAACATAGTTCATCATGGTTTGTCAGCTTTCCTCTCAAATGCGAGAAGCCCTCGTAGAGAGCCTCCCCTGAAATGCGAGAGACCCTAATAGAGACCCCATTTTGGTTTGGGGATTCGGCACGCATATTGAGGACAGAATATGGGGAAAAGAGTCTTGCATTGCGGCCAGGGTGAGGATGGGGTGGATTTGGTTAGAATTAAGAAAGGTTTTCTTGGTTTTGAGAGTTGTCCAAGGATGCCATGGAATCTTCAGTATTCTTAAAATCAGGAAGGATTTTCACCCTCTAGGTGTAGATGAAAGCAGTCTTTTAAATGATGGCTTGCTGGCTGAGAAGAATGTGTGTGTGTGTGTGTGTGTGTGTGTGTGTGTGTGTGTGTGTAATAAAGGCAGACTCTGGATTCAAACCCAAATTGGTCTGACTCCCATATCGTCTCTTACCCACTTAACGCTGTCTCCTGTTGGAATCTCTCCGGATCTCTGCAAAGATAAAACCCCATCATGGGGAGGCCTTAGAAATGAAAGGCTGCATGGAGGGAAAAGAAGCAGTAGAGCGAGTAGATGCTTGTAGATGCCCAGGAAGTTTGCCTGAGAAGGAGCTGGCGTTTGGAGGCAGCAGACCAGAAAGAATATTGGACGTGAAGCCAGAAGATTTCAGTTTATTTTTTTAAAAGATCTTATTTATTTATTCATGAGAGATAGAGAGAGGCAGAGACACAGGCAGAGAGAGAGAGGCAGAGAGGGAGAAGCAGGCTCCATGCAGGGAGCCTGACATGGGACTCGATCCTGGGTCTCCAGGATCACGCCCTGGGCCCAAGGCAGGTGCCAAATCTCTGAGCCACCCAGGCTGCCCCAAGATTTCAGTTTAACTTTAAGTTCTGTCGTGTAGTGGGTGTGGGACCTTGGATACCTCACTTCAGTCATGCTCTGTGTGCGTCATCTTCATCATGGAAAGGGAGACGTGTCTCAGGAGTAATACACGTGCAAACGTTTTCCAGCCGCACCTGGGACCTCTCACGCATTACAGGATTGGCAAAATGCTCTGCTCTGGGCTGGTTTAGCCGGGGCATCAGCATTCCAGGCCCGGCCTGTTGGCCTTCCTTCCTCTCCACACTCCCCACTCCGAGTCGACCTCTGTGCAGGGGAGAAAAGCCCCTTTCAGGCCTCCAGGGTCTGGTGCCATAGAATGCAAGGGGCTGTGGATTTTAACTGCACGAAGTTAAACGCGGAAAGGATCGAGAGGAGCACCTGGGAGGCTCAGTGGTTGAGCGTCTGCCTCTGGCTCAGGGCGTGATTCTGGGGTCCTGGGATCCAGTCCTATGTCAGGCTCCCTGCAGGGAGCCTGCTTCTCCCTCTGCCCGTGTCTCTGCCTCTCTCTCTCTCTGTGGCTCTCAGGAATATATAAATAAAATCTTAAAAAAAAATCCTAGGAAGAAAGAAGTGGAGAAGATGGTTTGGAGAACCAAGGGCCTTGGGGTGCAGTACTGAAATAATGCACGCCCAACTTTGTCTGGTTCATCTTCGTATCCTCACTGTCTAGCACTGTGCTTGGCCGTCTGTGGTGATCGATACATGTTTGTTGACAAATAAATTAAAAATGAGTGCAAGAATGATTCTTTTTTTTCCTCTACTGTTTGGAATGGAAGCATCTTTAATTCATAAGTCAGAATTTCCTGGAGGAGCTGACTTCAGAGCTGAGGTTTTCTTTTTCCCCCATGACAGCTTTATTGAGATATAATTTACGTAACATACCAACCATTCAGTCATTTAAAGTATAAAATTCAGTGGTTTTTAGCATATTCCTGGATATGCATAATCTTCACTGCAGTCAATTTCAGAGCATTTCCGTGACCCCAAAAGGAAACCCACACCCTTTATAAATCAACCTCAGTGCTCCTGTTCCTCATCATGCTGGCCCTCCGCAGGCATGCCTCTGCTTACTGTGGAGAGCAGTGGGTGTTTCAAATTTTCTTTTGTTTTAAAAGTTTATATATTTATTTGAGAGAGAGCAAATGTGAGCAGGGGGAGGGGGGAGGGCACGGGAGAAAGAATCTCAAGCAGACTTCCTGCTGAGCATGGAGCCTCACGTGGAGCTCAATCCCATGACCCTGAGATCATGACCTGAGCCAAAATCAAGAGTTGGCCACTCAACCAACTGAGCCACCCATGTGCCCCAAGAACAGAGTGGTTTTTTTTTTTTTAAGATTTTATTTATTTATTCATGAGAGACACACAGAGAGAGGCAGAGACACAGGCAGAGAGGCAGGCTCCCTGCGGGGAATCTGATGCGGGACTCAATCCCAGGACTCCAGGATCAGGACCTGAGGCAAAGGCAGATAATTAACCACTGAGCCACCCAGGTGCTCCAAGAGCAGAGTTTTGAATGGAGACCAGATGCTTGGCAAAAGCAGCACGGGGTGGGGGTAGGGGGTGGATTGTTGGCTTGAAGATGGGAACGGATGACCACGAATAGTCTTGATGAGGGATGTGGAAAACAGGGTGGTGAACTGATGGGCTGACAGATTTATGCTGAAGGGTTTGAGCTTGAGTTTATCAGTCAGTCAACAGCAATGCGTTGAGATCCCATTGACATGTGCTCAGTAAACAAAGAGGATTCAGCTCACGGAGGAGCTGCTATAGGTTCTAGAACCTGGGAGAGATGCTAAGCCGTGTCCTGTGTGAACTGGGTGGTGAGGTAGGGGCCTGAGCCCTGCTTTGTTCTTGCAGCACTCTGGCTGGGAATCGTTGTCTTTGCCACCATTTAACATAAGATGGCAATTTTAAAAAATTTATTTATTTATTTATTTATTTAGTTATTTAGTTAGTTAGTTAGTTATTTAGTTATTTATTTAGTTAGTTAGTTCTGGTTGCATTGTCCTCTGAGCTCCCTGAACAACAGAGCCTGAAGTGGATGGGACAAGCTTTTGGAATTAGTGCCTGTACGTCCCCCTGCATTCCTTGGCTGTCACTGGTTGTGGCAATTTTTCAAAACTCTCTCTTGAGGGGTGCCTGGGTGACTCAGCCAGTTGAGCAACTGCCTTCGGCTCAGG